TAGGTCACAATATTCTTCTGATTTTGATGGAACTTGAAATGTAAGTTTATAACCCAAAGATCTCTGTTTCTTTTGATATTCGTGCATATCGAATCGTAACTTCCCGAATTATGGCCCCTGATTGTACGAAAAATCGCAATTTTAGCTTGTGAACCCTATAGCAGTCATAATTCCTATTCGATTTAAAAAACGTTTGAATATATCACTGTTATACCCTAAGGATGGTTGAGTTCGAATTTTGTAAAAATCGAACCAAAACTGACAGACAAAATGGCCACGACTCGTAGTCAAATAGCGTAAAAATATGGTATATCAATGTTGTGGACCCTGTAGAGGTCACAATTTTAATCCGATTTTGATGAAACTGGAAATGCATGTTTATAACCCAAATGGCCGCCTCTTGCACACAAATAGTGTAAATATATGGTATAACAAAGTTGTGGATCCTCTAGAGGCCACAATTTTGATCCGATTTTGATGAAACTTGAAGATCTTGGTTCCTTTCCATATTCATGCGTATTAAGCTTGGTATATTAAGGTTGTGGACCCTCTGGAGGTCACAATTTGAAATGCATGTTTATAACCCAAAGATCTTGTTTGCTTTCGATATTCGCGCATATCGGATCGTAACTTCCTGAATTATTGCCCCTGATTGTACGAAAAATCGTGTTATTAGCTTGTGGTCCCTCTAGAGGTCACAATTATTAACCGATTTAAAAAAAACATTCAAATATTATCACTGTTACACCATTATGGTGTCTGAGTTCGAATTTCGTGGAAATTTCGATATTTGCGCATATCGAATTGTAATTTCCTGAATTATGGCCCTTGATTGTAGAAAAATCACTTTCGTTTTAGCTTGTTCTCTATCCTGCCTGGCAGCCGCTAGTTGATGAAACTTGGAATGCATGTTTATATCCCAGAGATCTTGGTTCCTTTCGATATTCGCGCATATTTAAGAGGTCAGGGTGTTCACAATGCAAAGCAATACCAATTTCAAATTCGGTTGGCCTTTATCCAATTAGTTCTGACACTAAACTTTGGAATGAGATTAATAAGATCAATACAAGTGGCGAATCGTTCGCCCAATGCCCAAAGAGATCCCTTACCTCAAGACAAAACCTAAATCTGCCTACTGCAGGACTTTCTTTAGACCTGAAATGTTACCTAATTTAATTAGACATTAATTAATTAATCCAGACGATAATCAACCCTCGATGTCATGGCTTGCCTGCTATATTTACTGGGTTAGGATCCGATCTGCTGCTCAACGCTCATTCGTGATTAAATCAAAAAATGGATAACCGAGACTATGTTTTTATATGCCCACATGGAAATGTGGACGTATATTGCCGTCGCCCCCGTCCGTCCATTTGTCGGTCGGTCGTCCGTCCGTCCATCGTCCACAATTTCTTGTGAACGCTCTAACACCAAAAGTTATCATCCAGTTGTTTTAAAATTGATATGTGTTGTTTATATTAGTGAAATGAAGAATCCTATTTAATTTCAATAATTTCAGTTCATTACGTCTAGAGTTATGGCCCTTGTTTCACTTTATTGAACCTTGTGAACGCTTTAACATCAAAAGTTATCTGCCGATCTGTATGAAATTTACATGCCTCATTTAAATTAGTAAAGAGAAGAATCCTATTGAATTTCATCAATTTCTGTTTATTACTTCTAGAGTTATGGCCCTTGTTTTACTTTGTTCAACCTTGTTAATGCCCGATTGATGAAAGTTATCATCCGATATGTATGAAATTCATATGCAATTCAGCAATTTCCGTCAATAATATCTAGAGTTATGGTGGTTGTGAACCTTGTAAATGTTTGAATGACAAAAGTGATCATCTGATCTGTATGAAATTTATTTGCATTATTTAAATTAGTAAAACAAAAAAGCCTGTCAAATTTCAACAATTTCTGTAGATTACTTCCAGAGTTGAGACCGTTGTTTCAGTTTGTAGAACCTTGTGAACCCTCAAATGGCAAAAATTATAATCTGATCTGTATGGAACTGCCTTGTAAAGGCCCCCAATTACCTACAAAGGAATAAATATGCGACAACCCTTGTCGACCGCTCGGACGATTTAGCTGCTGTGGGCGTATGTTTCATTGCCTGGCAACCCCTCTTTTATCGTATCGACTTTAATAATGATGATCAAGGCTAAGTCCAAAATTCAATTGCAAAATTTTCGGTTCAGTATGGATCAATTTGACTGAAATTATTAGCAAATTCCCATTACATTATCTAGTTTTTATACGCCCACATTGAAATGTGGTCGTATATTGTCGTCGCCCCCGTCCGTCCGGCTTGTGGACGCTATAGAGGCTAAAGTTAATATCCGATTGACTTTAAATTTAAATGCAGTGTATAAGGCCATGAAACAAAGAAGCCTATTGATTTTCAGTGATTTTCGATAATTACTGCCAGAGTTATGGCCCTTGATCACTTCAAAACATCTTGTGGATGCTCTAGAGGCTAAAGTTAATATCCGATTGACTTTAAATTTATACACAGTGTTTAAGGTCATGAGACGAAGAAGCCTATTCATTTTCAACGATTTCCGATAATTACTGTCAAAGTTATGGCCCTTGATCACTTTGAAAAATCTTGTGATGCTCTGGAGGCTAAAGTTATCATCCGATTGACTTCAGATTGATACACAGAGTTTAAGATCTTGAGACGAACAAGTATATTGATTTTCAATTAAATTTTATGACTTGAACAGCTAAATCCATGATATTAAAGGTTTTGTATACTAAACGTTAACATGGGGCAGAACTTTATAAAAACCAAACAAATTCTAATGGTTTTCTGGTAATTACTTCATGAGTTACTCTTAATCAGATTTTAATGTATTATAAATGTTTCATTACCGAAAGAAGTAAAAATATGCGACAACACTTGTTGACTGCCCGGACGATTTAGCTGCTGTGTTTTGTTGCCTGGCAACCTATCTTTAACTATTATTGTCAGAACTGCCAGCTCTTTATCTAATCTCCCATAACGTATCTTTAAATTAAATGAAATAGAGTTTAACGTCCCGTCGTTCAGCACCAACTGTGCTAATCAAGACAGGAATACGCCATGAAGTGTGCAGTGTGAGGTGATTTTGCATGGACAGTGGCACTACAGCCTTCTCTTATTTCTAATTCCAACTGCCAAGGGTTCTTTTACGTGCACGCCATTAAAACCACTAGACAGTGTTCCTTCTCAGGAACCCCGTCTTGCACCACTGAAAAGGGGAAACCACGCCACAAACCCCGAGGGGCTTTTTCCCTCCAACACCGGGAGCAAACCCAAGACCGAGTCAGGGACTTACTCACCGAGCCACCGCGGCTCACGATGATTTGGAAGCTTGACCCGATAGAAAGCCAAAATAATATCAAAAATACTTTACTTGTGTGCGTAAAATATTTCATTATTTTGAGGGGAAAAGATACGCTAAACTAATCATTTGCTTATTTTTATTTATTTATTTACTCTCATGCATGACGTAATCAGTTCCTTTTATATATTTTATTGTTCTTTTAGAAACAAAATAGGCCAAATCAATTGATATGGCAGTATTAGGGAAAATGCACGAAAAGGAAGCCTATTTATTTATTTTAAAAATATCTAGAATAGTTTGCTTTTGTACATAAATTATTTTATGATTTTTATCTGTCGGGTTATGAAAAAGGCGAGATTTTACATGTCCCCAATCAACCTCAATAGGCCTACAATTGTAAACAGCGCCATCTGTTACCAAAATGAACTTAGAATTATGACGCTTTTATCGCGTAACATACTAACATTGGTGAAATGTCAAAATGTTAACGAAACTAAACCAATTTCAATAAATTAAAAGTAATAATGGAAATATACTGAGCGCTATGGAAAACGCATCACTTTTTTTTCCCAAATACTTTATAACTAGGTGGTTTTGTATGTATAATATTATGCAATACTATGAACTATTGTTTCACACAATGCTCCCAAATGCAAAAAAATATCGGCCTGTGTGCACAAAAAAAAATTGCACGAGATGCACATGAAAAACCCAATATTCACGTGCAGCATTGTGTGTGAGCCCTTTAAAAGCATGTTTTCAACTTAATGTGCAGTACATGAACTGTGAAACGTCAATCTGTCGTAATTTGTTGTTGGACGTGTGAAGGAATCAAGCTAGAGATGCCAAGACTTACTGAAAATCTTTATCACGCTGATGGCCGCCAACGTGTGTGGAGACGTCTTGGGGAACATCTTGCAGACTGCTGCGTCTTCGAAATGAATCGATGGGATGGGGGAAGTGTAATGGTGTGGGGAGGCTTCACATTTCATCACCAGACAGCCCTACACATTTGCAGGGGTCGCGTTAATGCTGTAGCCTACTGTGATGATGTCTTGCAACCAGTTGTTGTTCCGATGTTTCGAGCGCACCCCCAACTTCAGCTTTTCCAACAGGATAATGCACATTCGCATACTGCCCGTTTTAGTATGGACTACCTGGCTGCTAACAACATCAATGTCTTGGACTGGCCAGCCATGTTTCTGGACATGGCACCGATAGAACATGTCTGGGATGAGATTGTATGCCGTCTGTATCGGAGACCACAGATGCACACCATTGCTGCTTTAGAAGCTGCTCTTGTCCAAGAATGGAACAATTTGCCCCAGGCCTTCTTTCAAACATTGGTAAATTCCATGGGCCGTCGCTGCACAGCCTGCGTAAGAGCCCGTGAAGGACACGCGCTACTGACATCTGTGTCGTACTTTTGGTTTTGACCCCTCTGACTTTGTACCGTTGATTACAGATTAAACATCCATAAGTGTACAAATGTGTTGTTATTGATGTGTTCCCATTTGAATATTGTTCACAATAAGAAGCAAAATAAATAACATATGTTTACAGGATCATTTTGTTATACGAAAAACTAAGTGATGCGTTTTCCATGGCGCTCAGTATAGAACAAAATACAAATTCTAACTGCAATATTTAAAAAAATAAGTCATAAGAGTTAGAATTATGGGGGAAATTCCGCTCCATAAAGTAGCACCGTTACACACCATTCAATGATCAAAGTGGGGTGATGTCATCAGCCTCTGAAGGCTCAGAAACGTGAGATCGTGGTATTTTGCCAAATCTGGAAAACGAAATAAAAAATTTCTAAGAAAATGCACACAAAAAACATAAAGAATATTTTAAGAAATATAGAAACAAAAGAGTAAGGCTTTAAAATTAACCTATCCATTGCCTTTTCAGGGGCGGATCCAGGAATTTTTGCAGGAGGGGGTTTGCCAGGATTCTGAGAAAATGTATCCCCCCCCCCCTCGACTTGAAATGTTTTTAGAAATACATGCACACAAAAAACATAAAGAATATTTTAAGAAATATAGAAACAAAAGAGAAAGGCTTCAAAATTAACCTATCCATTGCCTTTTCAGGTGCGGATCCAGGAATTTTTGCAGGAGGGGGTTTGCCAGGTTCCTGAGAAAATGTATCCCCCAAACCCCCCCTCTGGATCCGCCCCTGCTTTTTCTTAAAAACAGTTTGGAGCGCGAACAAGGTCTAAAGATGCAGACAAATATCGCTGAGAAAGCGATAACGGGAACCTAATCATTCAAAATTAAAACGTATTTCCTCCATTTTTATACGCCCACATTTTCATGTGGACGTATATTGTCATCGCCCCCGTCTGTCTGTCCATCCGTCCACAAATATTTGTGAACACTGTAGAGGTCACAATTTTTATCCGATTTCAACGGAACTTGAAATATAGGTTTATCACGAAAAATCACGTTTTTAGCTTGTGAACACTGTAGAGGTCACAATTTTTATCAGATTTGGTTTAAACTTGAAATGTATGGTTATAACCCAAAGATCTCAGTACTTTTCGATATTTGCGCATATCAGACTATAACTTCCTGAATTATGGCCCCTGATTGTACGAAAAATCATGTTTTTAGCTTGTGGACCCTATAGACGTCATAATATTTATCCGATTTAAAAAAACGTGTTAGTATATCACCATTACACCCTAAGGATGGCTGAGTTCGAATTTCGTGAAAATTGGACCAAAACTGACTGACAAAATGGCCGCCCATCGTTCTCAAATAGCGTAAAAATATGGTATATCAAGGTTGTGGACCCTATAGAGGTCACAATTTTTATCCGATTTTATTGAAACTTGAAATGTAAGTTTATAACCCAAAGATCTCAGTTCCTTTCGATATTCGTGCATATCGGTCCATAACTTCCTGAATTATGGCCCCTGATTGTACGAAAAATCACGTTTTTAGCTTGTGGAGTGTGGACCCTATTGAGGTTATAATTTTTATCCGATTTAAAAAAACGTTTTAGTATATCACCGTTACACCCTAAGGATGGCTGAGTTTGAATTTCGTGAAAATCGGACCAAAACTGACTGACAAAATGGCCGCCCATCATTCTCAAATAGCGTAAAAATATGTTATATCAAGGTTGTGGACCCTATAGAGGTCACAATTTTTATCCGATTTTGTTGAAACTTGAAATGTAAGTTTATAACCCAAAGATCTCAGTTCCTTTCGATATTTGTGCATATCGGATATTAACTTCCTGAATTATAGCCCCTGATTGTACGAAAAATGGCGTTTTTAGCTTGGGGTCGCTCTAGAGGTCAGAATTATTATCCGATTTAAAACACTGTTTGAATATATCACCGTTACACCGTAAGGAAGGTTGAGTTCGAATTTCGTGAAAATCGAACCAAAACTGACAGACAAAATGGCCGCCCATTGTACGCAAACAGTGGCGGCGCCAGCCGTCGGTGATTGGAGGGGCAAAGCTGGGGCAAAGTTCAAGGTTAAGGAGGCAAAGGCACGAGCTTTAAGAAGGGGTAGGGGGCCTCCCCCAGAAAATTTTGAAAAACAGGTTGCCGGAAATGCAGCCTGGCAGTATTTCAGGCACTGATCGGTGAGGTAAAGTGTCAAACGAACGGACTTGCGAATCATGACGAAGCCCACTCAAGAGCGTCAAAGTAGGGAGTCCTCCCCCAGGAAATTTTGAAAAATAGACTGCCGGAAATGCTGTCTTACAGTATTCTGTCAGGCACCGATCATCGAGATAAATAGATCTGACCAGATACAGTCCTTTGTCTGATCACTAGTTTATCCGACTAGAGAACAAAATGTCAAACGAACGGACTTGCGAACCTCAACGAATTCCCCTTGTGAGCGCCAAAGTAGCGAGTCCATTGGGGACCTCGCCAAGAAAATTTTGAAAAATAGACTGTCGGAAATGCTCTACAACATGCAAGTTTATGGCTGAGTGGGGATGTGGGATTTATTCACCGTAGAAGGTATTGATTACCGAAACGTATCACAAATACTTTTTTTATTTTCTAAAATTATTGAGGGGGGCAAACAGAGGGCAGACCAGATTAATGATTGCCCCCCCCCCTGGCGCCGCCACTGTACGCTAATAGTGTAAACATCTGGTATATTAAGGTTGTGGATCCTCTAGAGGCCACAATTTTGTGCCGATTTTGATGAAACTTGAAATACATATTTATAACCCAAAGATCTTGGTTGCTTTCGATATTCGCACACATTGGATGAAAACTTCATGAATTATGGCCCTTGATTGTATGAAAAGTCACGTTTTTAGGATGTGATCCCTCTAGATGTCACAATTTTTATCCGATTTAAAAAAACGTTTGAATATATCACTGTTACACCCTTATGATGGTTGAGTCCGAATTTCGTACAAATCCGAACAAAACTGCCGGACAAAATCCCTCCCCCTCTAGAGAGAGGACACAATTTTGATCTGATTTTGATGAAACTTAAAATACATGTTTATAACCCAAAGATCTTGGTTCATTTCAATATTCATGCATATCGGATCATAACTTCCTGAATTATGGCCCTTGATTGTACGAAAAATCACTTCTTTTTTTGAGCTTGTTCTCTGTCCATCTCTTGCAAAATGTGGGCGTATAACCGCTTGTTATTGATTTAAACTTACAACGTCAAAGCCCTTTGACATGCCTAAAGCGTGTTTAAATTTATCTCGAATAACACATTTGAGCGGAACGGTTAACCCAGATATGTGATGAGGTTATAATAATAATCGTTTTCTATAGCGGTAAACATGTTCAATTTTGATGTGAAAGATGGCGTGGCTCCGGGGTCTCGTTCAGGTTTATTTTTATTGAACAACATATAATAATATTACTTTTAACTTTTTAAAACAAAGCATAAAATTGTAAAATGCAGCTGTAAAAATTCAATTTTATTAGCAATCAATATCAATTTTCCAAAAATCATAACTTGTTTTGTTTACAAAGGCTAATACAAGTAACTGGCCCGCCTGCGTTGTCACGTTCTACACATTTTATGGTAGCGCGCACTAATTTGTTTTAGTATTTACGGTAACTATGATATAAGCTTGTCTCAAATCTACTTTAAAATGCACTATTTACTTTCTATACGCCCTCATTGAAATGTGCTTGTATGTTGACGTCGCCCCTGTCCGTCCGTCCATTGTGGACGCTCTAGAGGCTAAAGTTAATATCCGATTGACTTTAAATTTATACACAGTGTTTCAGGTTATGAGATGAAGAATCCTGTTGATTTTGGTCACTTAGAAAATCTTAATACACAGTGTTTCAGGTTATGAGATGAAGAATCCTGTTGATTTTGGTCACTTTGAAACTTTTATAGACGCTCTAGAGGCTAAAGTTATTATGATTGACTTCAAATTTATACTCAGTGTTTCAATCAATCAATCAACACAGAATTTGCATAGCGCAAACAATACTTTGATAAAGTGCCTAATGCGCTATAAAGTTTATGTGGATTCTTTTAATGTTTATTTTTGTCAAATAGATGTTCTTCAAACGTGACTTGAAGATGTCTAGAGAAAAGGTGCTGCAAAGTGAAAAGATCATTTTGTCCGTTCAATTTTGACAGCAGGAATAACTAATAATGACTTGTTCTGAGATCTTAAGGTTCTACTGGATTCATATGGAGTGAGATCTTGAATGTATTGTGGCGCTTGATTCTTGAGTGCTTTAAAAGTCAGTAACAGTATTTTGAATTTGATTCGCTGATTTATGGGTAACCATTGGAGGGTTCTTAATGATGGTTTAATGTGATCCCTTTTCCTGATTCCAGTGATGAATCGAGCTGAAGCATTCTGAACATATTGAAGCTTCTGCAGCTGCCACTGTGGTAGACCATACAATAAAGCATTCGGGTAGTCCAGCCTTGAAGAGATCGAAGCGTGAACGAGGAGTTTTAGATTTTCACATGTTAGGTACTTCTTTATCTTTGCTAATTTGTAAATCTGGTAAAAAGCTGAAGAACAGATGGTTTTGATTTGGGTCTCAAAAGTTAGCGTTGAATCAATGATAGCACCGATGTTCTTTGCCTTGTTTGTTGGTTGAATTAACTCCCCAGCAATCGAAAGGCTCCCCTTTTTTACTTTGTTGAGTTGTTGTTTGGTACCGATGTAAAGAACTTCAGTCTTGTCTGGATTTAATTTTAAAAAATGAAGAGTCATCCAGAAGTTCTCAACATCATGCACAATGGTAGTTTCAGATGAATGATCAAAGCCTATGTATAACTGTGTATCGTCTGCGAACAAATGGACACAAAGTCCATATTTCTGGGCTATTGCATTAAGTGGTCTTGGGAATATTATAAATAAGACAGGCCCCAGGACTGATCCTTGAGGCACTCCGCAGATCATTGAAACAAAGTCTGAGGAAGTCCCATTTATGCACACAGCTTGCCTTCTGTTGGTTAAGTAAGAAAGGAACCAGTTGAACACATCGTTACGTAAGTCAATTTCAACCCATAGTGTGTCTAGCTAGGAGATCACTGATGTCGATAGTATCAAATGCAGTGGATAGGTCCAGCAAAATCAGCAATACGCTCTGTTGTTGATCAATGCACTTGTGGATATCATCAACAATTTTTATGAGAGCAGTTTCTGTACTATGTAATTGCTTGTAAGCCGATTGAAGGGGAATATCAAGAGCCCTCTGACGAATATGCACGTTAACACGCTGTAGCAAACATTTCTCTGTGAGTTTTGATATGTTGCTCGGGTTACACACAGGCCTGTAGTTCTTCAGCAGATCAGCATCTAAGGATGGTTTCTTGATTAGAGGTGTGATCATGGCTTGCTACAGGGTACTTGAAAAGACTCCGTCTAGAATCGACTTGTTGACAATAATTAAAAGGATTGGTGGGAAAGCATACAAATTGTCTTTTAGAAGCCATGTTGGAAGTGGGTCTAACAGGCAAGACTTCGTCTTGGTTTTAAGCACCACTGTTTTAAGTTCCTCTAAGCTGTATGGTGTAAATTCTGCTAGCATATGTAGAGTGGGAACTTTGTGAGACGGACATTGGGTTTGGTCAATAAGGGAGGTCTTTGTGATGATGTCACCTCTAATTTGCACAATTTTTTGATTAAAATATGTCGCAAATTTATCGGCACTGTTGGATAGAGATTTATGATCTGGTAGAGTTTGTTCTATCTTTGAGTTCAGTAACTCATTTGATAAATTAAATAATTTCTTTAGATCAGAAGCACAGGCGCGTTCAGCTTTTCTCCTGACTTTCCTGGCATCCCGAATTGTATCGCAGAACCAGGGGTTTCAGGTTTTGTGACTATTCTTCGTGTCTTCTTAGGTGCGTGGACATAATAAAGTTTTTGATGAACTTGTTATAATTATTGACAAGTTGTTCCAGAGTTCTATTGGATGAGATGGATAGAGTTAGCACCGCCTCCTTAAATTTATCGTTATTGATATTTCTGAATTTTCTATATTCCACATTGCAAGGTGGCGAAGTAGTCTGTGGTTTAAGCGGCATGATCAAGTGGACGGCAGAATGGTCACTGAGCTGTGGGTCAATTGCAATAACTTGCGAGATGAAAAATTCATCAGCCTTGGTCATGGGACGAAGAAGCCTATTGATTTTCAACGATTTCTAATAATTACTTCCAGAGTTATGGCCCTTGATAACTTTGAAAAATCTTGTAGACGCTTTAGAGTCCATAGTTATCATCTGATTGATTTTATATTTATACACTGTGTTTACGCCTATATATATACTATTCAAAAAAAAGTAGAGGATATTTGATTTTGGGGGCATAATACTAAAATATGCAAATGACTACGAAAAAAGTCACTATAGAACCTAACAGAAGAAACATTTCCAGTTACATGTGACGCCCAAACGCACCAATAGCTACCGCATGGAATGCGGGTGATGCTTGGGATCATCATGGGGGTCCAACCCAAGATTTGCACGACTCTGACTTTGAATGTTACAGTCATTGTGGCATTGAATTCCAGGGTGGAAACATCAGTTTAATTGTTTTAGTGACCAGAAAACAAATTTTGATATGCGTCGGCTTACCCAAAATGAAAGGTTACGTGCCCTTGGCATGCTACAGATCGGCACAACACAGGCGGTTGTGGCGCGGACGATGAATGTTTCTCAGTCTGTCATAAGCAGGCTATGGTCCAGATACCGTGATACACAATCTGTACAGGACAGACCACGCTCAGCTCGACCAAGGGCGACAACTCAAGCCCAGGATCGATTTATCCGTACCTTGGCCTTGAGAAATCGTGTCATGACAGCAAATCAGATCAGCGCTCGTCTTCAAACAGACACTGGTGTGAGAGTGAGTGGCCAGACGATTCGGAATCGACTGCATAGGGGTCATCTTCGCGCCCGACGTCCTCGCGTGATCCCTTGTTTGAGAGATCATCACATTCAGGCAAGACGTCGTTGGTGTAGGGATCGTCAACACTGGGATAATCGACGCTGGAGCAATGTGATGTTTTCAGATGAGTCAAGGTTCACTGTTGATTTTTTGGACAGACGTAGGAGGGTGTGGCGTCGTCGAAACGAGCGCTTCCAAGACGTTAACGTCATCAGACATGATCGATTTGGGGGTGGTTCTGTTATGGTGTGGGGAGGCATCACTGTTGCTGGAAGAACGGCTTTACATGTTGTTGCAGGGCGTGTTACAGGCCAGTACTACCGGGACAACATCTTGGCAGTCCATGTTGTGCCGTTCGCACGACGTCATGGCCGCCGTTTCATCTTCCAGGATGACAACGCAAGATGTCACAGGGCCAGGATCGTTACAGGTTACCTCCAACAACAGAACATCACCACATTACCTTGGCCAGCACTGAGTCCCGACCTCTCCCCCATCAAGCATGTCTGGGACATGCTTGGACAGAGGTTACGTCAACGTCAACAACGTCCTGCCAATGTCCAAGAACTTGCTGCTGCGTTGCAACAGGAATGGGACAATCTGGACCAAAATGACCTTAGACGTCTCATTAGGAGTATGCCACGTCGGATCAATGCTTGTTTGGCAAACAGAGGAGGATTTACCCGTTACTGACTTGGTTGTGATGCTGTGGTAACTTTGCTGTTTGACCCGGGTATCATTTTACCCTTATAATGGTCAGTCTGTGCCTTACTTAGTCTAACGATCATTTGGAATAAATCGATGAATGTGAACTTCATTTCATTTTGTCATTTGTTTCTTCGTCAGTTTCATTAGGTGACTTTAATACACTTAAAAATCAAATATCCCCTACTTTTTTTGAATAGTATATAATCATTTCGATTGACTTTAGGTTGATAAACTGATTTATGGCCCTTGATCACCTTGAAAAATCTTGTGGACGCTTTAGAGACCATAGTTATCATCTGATCGATTTTCTATTTATACACCGTGTTTACGCCTATATGTAATCGTTTCGATTGACTTTAGATTGATCAAAAGAGTTTAAGGTCTTGGGACCTTATTGATTTTCAATGATTTTTGATAACTTTAACAGCTAAATCCATGATATTACATGTAGATGTTTTGTATATTAAATTTTAGCATGGGCCAAACAAATTCTAATAATTGTCTGATAATTACTTAACGAGTTGTTACACTTAATCAGATTTTAGTGTATTATAATTGTTTCATTACCGACAAAAGTAAAAATATGCGACAACCCATGTTGACTGTCGGACGATTTAGCTGCAGTGGGGATATGTTTCGTTGCCTGGCAACATATCTTTAAAATAACAGTTTTATAATTTTACGCGGTGAATAAAAAGTTAATGTAATTGGCGCCTCTTTACGTACTTTACCTTAGTTTATCACCCGCTGATCAGTTTGTTAAGATTGATACCTGAATCACGCGTAATGAATCAAATGAATCAATACCCAAAAGAAACTATTGGGATGAAATAATGCTTGATTTTCTTTCTTACTTTTCTTTGAAAAATAAATTAGATATCGACTTTCTGTCGAAGGTAAATGAGGGATGTATTTAACGGTCACAGCTCTATAGCCTATAATTTTATTGCACCTGAATGCCCGTGGTATAGTGGAGTAGAAGGGAACGATATCACTGGGGATACCGAGGATGTGTACATTCATGAACACCAGTCATTTTAAGAGTGTAGAACGTAACAAATAATGTGTGTATGTAGATTCATTTTACCGTTATATAAAAGTAGGTTGATAACTTTAGGCTAAATAGATATACCTATATATATATATATATATATATATATATATATATATATATATATATATAACCAGTTTAATATACTGTATGTAGGCCTACTAACCTCCCATAGTCATAATTATCATGTGCGCTTAAACTAAGTGTACTCCATCTTAAATCGGAACCATCTCCAGGCTCAGGTCTTTTACTGAAGAAAATATACATGCATATTTATTATAAAATTCTATAACATCAATTTATTCCAAATGTACATTATAGTTAGTTATAAATAATATTCAGAATATAGTCTGCCGAATATTTTCAAACTATTATACCACTTTGGGTTTAATCATATAATAGCGGAATTTTCGCAGAATGAGAATATGACGTTTGAAGTATAATTATTATGATCCCCAATGCATCGACCACAGTAAAGATTAAACTTCACAAAAAATTTTAAAAAGAGGTATTTACAAATCCTAAATTTGTCATAATATATATTTAAATTGATTGATCGCTTAAAATTACGCCACTAATTAATTCACACCCTTTCTGTGTATAAAGATCTGAGTCCACTAATTCTTATTTACCTATGTTGCCATGGTGAATCATATAGTGCCTCTGCTGCATATCGATCCTCTGATTCGCGTCGTCGCCATCTTTCGTAGACATCTTCGTAAAAGGTCGGATTGATAAAAGTACTGTAAATCTCGGGTTTTGCATACGTCACACTATTCCTTTCACCAGCCACACCGCCACCACCGGTTTCATGATAAACGTTATATCGTCGTTCGTGTGTATGATATTGAACTGGGTTTGGTGCAGGAGGTAGACTATCAGCTGAATTCCTTGGTAATCGATGATGCCTGTCAGAGTACCTATTGGAAACAATAGACGAATGTTTTATATAGTTTATTCGCATTCTATAAAGAAACTCTGGTTTGCTAATAATTGTTCTCTGAAACCACTTATATATAATCTTTAAGTGGCATTTAGCGATCGGAAACACATTAACAGAACACAGTTTTTATGATATACAATCACTAGTTTTATTCTAAAAGCACTTGTCGTAACGTAGTGCTATTAGAATAAAATTAGGGATTGTATCCCATTAAAACTGTGTTCTGTCACTTTATATATGTAAGGGTGGACTGGAAAACTAAACTAGTGTACAGTTTCTTTAGACATTCTACTATAGGCTGATTGACCCACAGCAATGCTACAAAACCCGTTTAGTCTTTTCTTATTTCCACTGTTTCAAAACGGGTCAGGCGAAGAAAAATAAGTCTGATTAATCAGTAGGTTATCCGATTGGTTAATGACCGTCACAGTCTTCATTTTACGGACTTTTTAAATTACATTTTGTGTTATGATAGAATGGAGAGAGGTTTAAAGTCTCGTCAACAAAACACTTCGGTCATTTCATTTCTCTTTGTTATGTTTGCATTGCGAAGGAGAGAATTTTTCCCGGACAGCTTGTGTTCAGCTATTCTTCTTGAGAATCTGATAGAAATCATAACATACAAAATAGCTTGTTTGAAAATAGAAAACATTAAACCATATTTTATCTTTTACTTACCTTGATATTTCTTTTTTATTTGTACAAAACCATAATTTACATAAAATAACCAAAACAACTAACAAAACAAGACCACAACATCCTGTTAATACACCAATAAATAGTTTGGTAGATAATGGTAATCCTGCAATAGTTGCTGGAATAAGCAATACAAATCATTATACTCTATACAATACAGCATTATTAAAATCATTAAACTCTACATTAAAACATCATTAAAATCATTATTCTCTACATTACAGCATAATTAAAATCATTATACTCTACATTACAACATCATTAAAATCATTATACTCTAGATAACAGCATAATTACAATCTTTATTCTCTGCATTACAGCATAATTAAAATCATTACACTCTACATTATAGCATAATTAAAATCATTACACTCTACATGACAGCATAATTAAAATCATTATACTCTGTGACAGGAAAGAACCATCTACATTACACAGTAACAAGGAATGTGAGATAAAATATGGAATAAAGTTCCATTGACGGTTTAGCTCTGTCATTTCGAACCTATAACCTACTGTAACTTTTATTTCTATGGTTATGTGACCAGCGCAGGTTGGGGAGGGTGTATCTGGTGGCGCTTCCGCCTCAATCTGACAACTGATCTTTTGCATGTAGTACCTCGGATATAGTATCCAATTTGAACGGCTAGACACACTTACCGTGTCAGCTCTGAACACTTGATACGTGAGAAAATCCAGAAGCTAACCCTGGGTATTCTTGTCGTGGGTCCTATGCCCTGACCACATAATCACAGCGGCAAAGGTATATAGATAATGTAACCCATAATAATCACACTGTCAATTCATGCATGATAATAACCACCGTACAATTTAGTCCAGAACCGGGGGAAACAAGTGACGAAGACGACAAAATCAAATAAAAATCACCTATTCTAATCCTCTGCGAACTTTTTGTTGTTATACTTTTCTATTGGTTATACGTTTGAGTAATTCGAATGATTCCGTAAAACGTAGCTATATAGCAGATCTTTTTAACACAAAGTTAACCTTACCATCACATGTTGGCACTGTGCCGTTCCAGGAACCATTATTTTGACATAGAAGTACACTTGGTCCCGTTAAGTGGGCACCAGTACCACAGCGTAGCCTGACACTGGCACCAGGACTTCTATCAGAGTTACTTGGCCAACCATATGGTATATCTATAGCTGGGCAATATATTGGTTTTCTTGTGGTTGGTGATACTAAAATAATAGAATGACATTATCTCTATGTATTCATCGAAATAAAAGTTTACACTGAATCTGGTGTGAATTCGCTCCATATTATGTTGTTTGTTATTATGTTTACTGGATTAGAACCCGGTCTGCTGCTTCTGATTAAATCAAAAAGTGGATAATCGAGACGATTTTTTTTTATCGTATCGACTTTAATAATGATGATCGAGGCTGTACCCAAAATTCAATCGCTAAATACTCGGTTCAGGGTGGATCAATTTTACTGAAATTTTCAGCAAATTCCCTTTACATTATGTAGTTTTTAACTATTATTGTGAGAACTGCCAGATCTTTATCTAATCTCCCATAATGTATCTTTAAAGAAGGTGTGAAATTGCGATTTGTGGTCAATGGTGAGCAAATCAGTTGACTTTTTTTCTGTTCACCCAAATTTTTGGAAAGCTTCCCCGAAGAAATGTTTCAATTTTCCAGTTTCAATTTTCCAATTATAGACCCATGAATGATTCAGATGTAGAAATGTTATGAACTCTAATTTTCAAAACATTACTCATTTCAACTTAAACCTCGCATACGTAACTATGTACTTAAAAGTAAAAACACATGTAATATTCAGTCTACATTGATAGTAATCAATCATTGTGTCAATGTCATGATAGTAGCATGTACAGATTTATAACTCTGTTGAGTTTTTATAACATATTTTCTTATAAGCATATCTTCCTGTTACGTTTAAAGTTGTCAGTTATATTATCTATTGGTAAATTTATGGGATAAACTAGCCTTTTTAAAGATGCAATATCACTCCATTTATTGTATTAAAAATAATCATAAAGCAAACATTGCCCTACTTTAGGTAAGGCATGTTTTGCAAGCTTTCTTTACCAACAATAAAACTTTCAAAATTTGAAGTTCAGAAATCTATATCTGGGTGATGGCATGGCAGATTTTGCATACAGTCTAATTTCCAACATGCCCCATGTAACTGTATAGTCAAACCAGGTCAAAATGAAAAGTGCGTTTTCACAAACTGTCGATTATCACAAAAGCAATAATGCCACTTTAAGGTTTTAGTTGGGGCATAACAGTGATATTGTAGGTCAACGATTATCACTGAGAAAAGTGAAACTTTACAGATCAGATCAATAGACATTATTAAAACAGTTATATAATCGTATTTCTAGCTGTTTAATAGAAATGCAACACACCTTTAGTTGTTGTCGAGGTCGTGGTCGTTGGTGTGGTAGTTGTAGTAGTAGCACTACTAGAGCTTGCAGCAGATGTTGATGTAGATGATATAGAAGACGTTGTTGTATTATTGTTGACAGAATCCGTGACAACAGCAGTAGAATTTGCTGGAGAAACCGTTGTTTCCGACATGATTATGAATTTTTTTACAAATTATAGTTTAATCCAGACTTGGTTACATTTATACATCCAAATTCATAGAAAATGCACAAACATTCACAATTTGTAACATTTAAAATCAGTAGGTATTGACATTTGGATGTCTAAGATATGGAATAATACCTGACCAACTTCACACCCATCCAATCAGGAAGATATAAGTACGTATATAGTTATGACACAAAATTAGAAACATATAGATTTAAATATGACAGATTACTTGTCAATTTCGTACATTAATTAACTAGTTTTTGAATCGCTTCACTGATTCTCCGAATAAGTAATACTTATTAGTGTATGAAAAATGGCGTTGATACCAATTATATAATGAGCGAGGTAATTAATAATGAACACCAATAAATCTAACTAGACGAGGTTATGGGCTCTGACCTCAGGCCAACTTTCTATTAAAGAATTAAAGAGGTCAGTTACTTTATAGATCTGATTTCTAATTGGACTCCCCGAATGCACTAATTTATCGTTTACATTTTTCAACAGTTCTTATTAACTTCGTTCCATAAAACTATTCTAAAACGTAAGTACAAGAAGAGGCCGTTTGCCATGTACACCCAATTTCATTTATCATGCGATCTGTTCAAGCTCGTTTTCCGGCGTGGTTTCCCCTTGTCAGTGATGCAGGACGGAGGGCCTGACAAGGACAGCTGTCTAGTCGTTTGGAAGGGACGAAAAACCGAGGTCCCGTGTACATATTGGCGTGCGCGTAAAAGATCCCTTAGCAGTTGGAATTCGATATAAGAGAAGGCCATAGCGCCGCTGCCTAGGTAAAATTTCCCTCATAGCACACTGTGTGGCGTATGCCTGTCTTCATTAGCCCAGTTTAGGAGCAGAACAGTAGGACGTTAAACCCCATTTCATTTCATTTCAGTTCAAGCTCGCATTGGTACATTATTTTTAATTTGTTTATCAAAGGCAGTGGCTATTTGCCACATGTAAGCAAGAATTTCAAAATAGCCTTACGACTACAGACCGCAATTGTTACCCGATTTTAATGAAACTTACAGATTATGATAACATTGATAACATCTCTGAGTAACAAAACTTTCGGCCACTTCCGGTTGGCGGTTTCCGAGATATGGGGGTTACCACACATTTCATGTGGCACGGTTACAGACCACAATTATCAACCGATTTTCATGAAACTTACAGAATCTGATAACATTAATAATATCTCAGAGTAGCCAAAGTTTCGGCCACTTCTTGTTAGGGTTTCAGAGATATCAGGTTACCACACATTTCATGTGGCACGGCTACAGACCTCAATTACCAACCGATTTCAATAAAACTGGCAGATTATAATAAAATTAATAATATCTCAGAGTAGGCACAATTTCGACCACTTCTGGTTAGTGGTTTCGGAGATATCAGGTTACCACACATTTCTTATAGCACGGCTACAGACCACATTTATAAACTGATATCCATGAAACTTACAGAATATAATAACATTAATTATATCTCAGAGTGGGCAAAATTTCGACCACTTCCGGTTAGCGGTTTCGGAGATATCAGGTTACCACACATTTCATGTGGCACGACTATACAGACCACAATTGTTA